GACCATGCCTAGACAAACATTTTGAATGACATATGGGTGACTCTTCCATGGGGCTAACAACACAGAGATTTTATTGACCCAAACATCTACTTTTTATGTGTTTTCTCAGATTGCTTTCCAGGACTTCCCTGGTGGCGCAGTGGACAGGAGTCCACCTGCGAACACAGGGGCCATGGGTTCAGTCTCTGGTCCGGGAAGATCCCACATGCTGCAGAGAAGCTAAGTCTGTGTGCCACAGCTACTGAGCATCTGCACTGCAACTACTGAAGCCCAAGCACCCAGAGCCTGTGCTCTGCAACAGGAAAAGCCACTGCAGTGGAGAAGCCAGTGAACCAAAATGAAGAGCAGCCCCAGCTTGCCACAGCTAGAGAAAGCCTTGGTGCCGCAAGGAAGATCCAGCACAGCTAAAAGCAAATAAAATAAAGTTGCTTTCTAGTAGCAATCTGGTCTGTAGACAGCTCTACCTAATTCCATAAATACTTCTGCACTTGTTAATAAACTTCTAGGTGCACCGGAGATGTCATGCAGGTGATAAACCACATTCTTTCTATTATTTATTTCAGTTTAAGAACTAATTTTTCTCAGTAATATATTCCTCCACCTAAAACAGACTGAATGGATTGGAAGCTGCCCACACGTTTTTCCTTGGAAAATTGTATTTGTCTATTTGCTGCTCCACCCACTCTGCATTCACATTTGAGAGGTGCTAAGTAAGTCACACATTTGAAAATGTCATGCGTGTCTAATTTTATGCCTGGCAACATACATTTTTTTTTTAAGGAAAGTAAACAATATGCCATATTTCAAAAATTTTGCCAAGCCTTATGTTATTGTTACAGAGCATATAATCCTCTGTGACAGCGAGTTACCTATATAATTTCATAATAAAACCACATGCTTTTCATTTCTATGATATGAGGAAGGCTTGGACACAAATAATGGCATTTGATCTTTTATAAATATAATTAATGCCAGAGGGAAATTTCTGAGTTATATCTTTTCCTTTGCCATGGAATCAACAAAATTATGGGAAACAGAAACCAGAGTATATTTGTTTGAAAGTCACAAGAGTGATAGTGTAACTATTACAGAGAGATCCAAGGAAAAAACTTACTTTAAATCAAGATCATTATCAAAAACACTTGAACACGTACAAAGATAAGCTTATGTTAGAGAATCACATTTGACCAGTCCTACATGTGAACTTGTCAGTGGTTAAGTTGTATCAGATAACCTTAACTTCATCTTATTCCTGTCTAACAGGTAGTATTTATTTTTCTATCAATATTAATTCCTTTCTATACTGCTGATTCCCCTGCTATTTTTTAAAGTGATGCTTTCACATTAAAATGGAAGATCCTGTTTGAAACATATCATTCTACTATTTTAATTTATTAAAAATCTATTGGAATACAAATCAAAAATGTTTCTTCTGATTCACTACTCCCCATCTTGAATGGATTCCACTCCCAGGAAATGGAAACACAACCATCCGATTGTCAGTCAAATTACCTGGGAGTCATCCTTCATTTTTCTCTTTCTTCCTCCCAGAGAATCAGTACACAGCAAGTCTTTTCAATTCCACCTACAAATAAATCCCAATCCTTCTTTCTCCACCCCCACACCCTACTCAGGGCCACCATCATATTTCTCATCAGGCTAATACAGTAGCTGTTCCAACACTTCACCCCAAGTTCAGTCCCCAACCACTTTCCACCAGCGGAGAGTCTGATCTTTTAAATCCACAAATCAGATCGCATCAAAGCTCTGTCTGAAACGGCTTCTGCCCTTCTCCTGGAAGCCAGAGAGGACTCCTGCCTCAGCTTCACCTGCTCCATTCCACACTCCATCTGTCACAGCCTTTGCCAGGGAGGCCCTGTCCCTACTTTTCAGATCTCTCAGTTGCCTTTGATTGCTCTGCTCCACTCACTCGCTATTATCTCACCATATGCTCTTCATGGCACTTAATGCTTCTGATTCTTTACAAAATAAGCAAACTTTATTTTTTTTTGGAGCAGTGTTAGATTTATTAGAAATTGAGCAGAGAGCAGAGCTCTCATATTGACCCCTCCCCCACCTCCCTCAACAACTCCCCTTATTACTAACATCTTGCACTCATGTGGCATACTTGTTACTAATTAAGTCAACATTGATATGTTATCATTAACTGAAGTCTAGAACGTAGATTAGGGTTCACTCACTCTTGATGCTCTATGTTCCATGGGGTTTGACAAATCCATAATGTCAGTATGCACCTTTACGCTATTGTACAGAAAAGTTTCACTGCCCCCAACAACTTCTGACAACCACTGATCTTTCTACTGTCTCTATAGTTTTGCCTCTGCCAGAATGTCATATACTAGGAATCATAGAATATGAACACTATTTGATTTTTTAAAACAGTAACTTAATTATTGTCTGTGTCTTCTTCTGGAGAATAAGCATCATGAGCACAGGGACCTTATCTGTCTTGTTCCTTCCTTCGCCCAAAGGGCTAACAGGCTCACAGTGAACTCACTGCAGGAATTCTTGGATTGAATGAACTGATGAACCTGCCTACCAGCCCTAAAGGGAGCAATTGCCTACACACTTTTGAAACATTTCCTTCTTGGTTTCTTCTAGCAGCGTTGGAGCAGACTTAGATTTTTGAATTTTACATGGACGCTTGGCAGCTATTGGGAAAAGAAGGGTCAGTTGTTCCCTGGCCCCAAGTAGTTTAACGTGTGGTGACTACAGGTTCTATTGCTACTGGAGACTAATATGTAGGGTGGGAATTTATCCAATCACGTTGGATACATGGGGATCCACCCTGAGCTAGAGATGCAGAATTTGGAGCATATCTAACAAGTTAACCTCTGCTCTGACTCCCTCAGCCCTCTAGAGCTCACGAGCTGCTCAGGACTCTGCTTTCCCACTTTCTTCCTTTCATCCTTGCCTTTGCTCTTCTGGATATTAAGTATTTACTTCCTGAACAAGGCGGCTTCCCAGATGGCACAGTGGTCAAGAATCCGCCTGCCAGTGCGGGAGATGCAGGTTCGAATCCCTGGGTAGGGAGGATCCTGGAGAAGGAAATGCCAACCCACACCAGTATTCTTGCTTTAAAAATCCCATGGACAGAGGAACCTGATGGGCAGCAGTCTGAACTGAAGTGAAGTGAGTCAGTTGTGTCCGACTCTTTGTGACCCCAAGGACTATACGGTCCACAGAATTCTCCAGGCCAGAATACTGGAGTGGGTAACCTTTCCCTTCTCCAGGGGATCTTCCCAACCCAGGAATCGAACCCAGGTCTCCTGCAGTGCAAGCAGATTCTTTGCCAGCTGAGCCACAAGGGAAGCCCAAGAATACCGGAGTGGGTAGCGTATCCCTTCTCCAGGGATTCTGCCTCCTACATTGCAGGTGGATTCTTTACCAACTGAGTTATCAGAGCTATAGTCCGTGGGGTCACAAAGAGTCAGACAAGATACAATCTCCACTTGAATCTCTCTGTACCCCTTTCTATTTTCCTCTTCCTTCCAATGTTCCGAGCAGAAAAATACTGTAATTGTGACTTATAAGATAGAGGACAACACTTGAGATTTCCTCTATTAAAAAAAGAAAAAAAGAATCACATATTTTAAAACACAATTAACCATAACAAGAAACCATATCCTATACTACCTAAAAAATGTCCAGAGGTGTCTGTCAAAATTTCCATAACACCTCCAAATTTCATTAAATTTTTTTTACCCTTAACCTCCACTATTTAGCTATAAAAATATGTGTTCCTACTCTTAAATTCTTTTTTTGATCATGTCACAATTTTTAGAAATCTTCTTTCTGAATGCCTGACCCATAGGAGATGTCTCTGAATTCATGGTGATGGAAACTTTAGGGCGACTGGAAACTTGCTACTTTCTAAAGTTTAGATTCTAGGAAATATGCCAATCTTTAGCCTATTTAAAGCCTTAATTGTTTTATATCCTTCAAGTTTAGATCCGCTCAGCCTCTATCTTTCCAAACTGAGCCCTAATCTTTCTAATATAAACCCCTTCCCAGGACAAGGAGCACAAATAAACAAAACCCATTAAGACACCCAGCAACACTGTTGACTGCCGCAAGCATAACTGGAGTGTTGTCTTTTGCAGGGAGCATTTAAAAACTAAGGAGGGAATGCTTTTACAAATGTGCAAAATTAAGAAGAACATAGCACACAGGAAAAAAAGATACTAAAACCCATTTATAAACTTCAAATATTTTAAAGTTATATCACAGAATTTTCAAAACAATAGAAAATTTTATCTTTCTATTGGAAAGGTAACTGTTAATTCATTCAACACCAAGAAGCACTGCCTATTTTAGTGTGTTTAAGTTTATCTGGAGTTCTATTTTTTTTAATTTGAAATATACTCTTAAAGGCTTCATATCTATAACTTGTCATTTACAGAGCCATTTGCAGTGTATGCTTTTATACTTTTACATTATTCTTTCACCTAAGAATTAGTTGATTATGGATTGTTTAGCCTTTTAGCCTATACTCATCTCCTTTGCATGCCTGGAATTTCATAGAGTGCTTTCAAGGCCCATTAAAAATAAGAAAACCTTATTTTCACTCATTAAGAAGTAAACTTACCCCTAAGACATACTTCTTTTTAAATTTTTTCCCAAGTTGCATAAAGATGATATAAAAGAAGAAATAAAGTAATCCAAAGTGCACTCATGAGATTTAAACGACTTTGAGGGTTTCAGTGACCTCACTAAATCAGTTTCTGAAGCTTCATTCTCAGGGTTGATCAAGTTACTAAAAGCCTCAGTGCAATTATAGCCTTATTCTGCAGGTCAGAATCCATAATTCCATAGGTTTTCCTTTTGCTCTCACTCTGCTGTTAGATGTGAAATATTCCCAGCCTAGCAGGATCAGAGCCTTGCTTCTGTCCCCAGTCTTTCCAATGAATGGCAGTGTATCCAATAATATCAAATGGTGGGCTCAGTAAAAGAGAAAATATATAAAGAAACGAACTTACCATCAAACAGGTTACTATAATAACAAAGATGCTGAGAAAAATGACAACAGCATAAAATCCTTCTTTGCTCCAGATTTTGTCCGCTTCATGCTGCCCTTGTAAAACGTTTTTCTTTGAAAGCAAAACAGAAAGTCCGATGTTAAATGAGAGCTTGAGGAGACTGGCGTTCTTATCAGACACTAAACATATTTTTAGCTTGATTCCATCCAGTATAGTAGAACACACCTACATCCCCCACTGCCAGAGCTGCTTCTCAAACTGATCTGAGACATCGGATTGCCATTCTCATACATTAAGACTATTTTATCTCCTGTATAGGAGCAAGGAAGCCCGACATGGCATCCTGGGCCCCAGCCTTTGTTAACGTCCCTCGAGCTCTCTCTCAGCAACTACCTGCTTCGTAGGTGAGAGAGTTCTGCTCTGCTCTGGGTTGAGGAAATTGTTTCTGAAGCTTTGCTTACTCTTCTCAGACTCCTCCCACAACACCAACACCCTGATTTATGTGCTGTAACACTGCTCTCAACTTTTAAACAAAAGTGAAACAGGTGCAGTCTCATGATGCATTAATAAACAGAGCAATAATGTCCAGATCATTTCCTTCCTTTTTTTTATGAAATCTTTTTTTAAAAATCCAGTCTATTTTGTCAAAATCTGATGAATGTACCACTTTAGCCATATAAATTGTTAGGACTTTATATTTTACTGAAATCAACAGGGAGCATCAAAATATCTAAAATTATTTGGTAGGTAATAAAAGGGAAATAGTTTTATTTATTTGTTTGTTTATTAGCTTACTATTTGGGGGGTGAAAGGGTAGAGAAATAGCATGGATAAAATGTCAGTGAATGATTTAGTTTAATTTTACCTATTCTTTTAAAAAAACGCATCTACTAAAATCACATCTTATAATGCAATGGAGCTTTATAATTTATATAAATTATAAGTTTACATAAGTTTTATAATTCAGTGAAATTTACAGATTTAGGTTAAAGAAAACTTAGCTGGAAACCAAATGGTCCACAAATAGGATAAACATATAAGGCTAAATCAAGTTGAATGCTCCCACTCATCTAAAATTACATTTTGTTGAAGTCTGATTTTTCTTCCCTTTAGTTGAGCTGTCTCCAGTGATTAAGAAAGCCCTGAACAGTAGGATAGTGAATGACGAAAAACGTCAAAGACAGTGGCTCTGGAGAGTGAGAGGTCATCTTGAGCATTCCAGAGGCAGGTAAATTCCCAACTTAATGTAACCGCTGGGATGACTTTAGCCTATACTATGTGGAAAAGAAAAACCACCCAGCTGATCCTAGTCAACCTATAGAATCCTGAAAAATAAATAGTAATTGTCTCAAAAAAAAAGTCTTCAGCAAAACCTGTTCTTGTAGGTGTCTGAATTTTGAAATCATTGTTAATTATTTTTCAAGACTTAAAAAATGCATTCCATGTTTGTAAATTAGACAAAAAGAAATATTTGCCTTTTGAAAAATATTTTATGAAAAATTTCTATCCTGAAACTCAAGTGAGTCTTGGTGGTGAGTTGAACAAAACAGAACAGAAAGGATCTTTGAGTTCAATTGTGGTTATAACTATGAGAGGAAGACTTCTGTTGCTTGAAGTAGCTGAATTTCCCTTTCTTTTGCTTAAATATACTTAAATTCACTGTAATACCTTGCCTTATTTAAGACAGAGACAAATTCATAGATGCAAGAAATGATTAATGTGTGTTTTTAAAATACATGAGTGGTAAATTGATAGAGAATCTGAAAATGCTTGCTTGTTAAATAAGTAGAAACTCATATGTCCTCCTAAAAAGGAAATCTTGGGTTCAAGTGACAACTTGTCTTAGCCAGACCATATTTTATTCCAGCGTCTTTGTAAACATAGCTAGAAACTAATAGAAGAGAAAACTCTTGTAGAAATCAAGTATAAATATGGAAATGAGCTTTTTTTTTTTTTGCAGGCAACTAAATAGCATCTATTGCTTGCTATAAAAGCAAAGCACTTAAGCCTTCAAGTAGGCAGCATAAACTTGTCAAATTTAAGTGTGAGGATCTGAGCTTTAGTTCATATAAAATTTGGATTAAAAAGTAATGGTTAGGTGGGTGGAAAGAGATTTTGTGTTCCTAACCTGATTTGGTTCATTTTTTTCCTGCTATAGTTCAGCACCTCCTGGAACATCAACATGTTCCTTTCTGCTTAAGACAAATCAATTATGATTTCTCTTTTAACCAAAGCAGTAATGATGGAGGAATGAACTTCCCGCCTCCCATCCCCCAGCCCCCAGTTAGGAAGACACATGTTTTGAACTCCTAGAACTTAGTCACTGCACTTTCTTGGTAAACAGATTTCCTTTGAGTCATGCTGGTCCTACTGAGCACTACTATATTTGTACAGAGATCTAAAAAACTTGATAAGGGCAGGGTAGTAAGTGAAAAAGTTTGTAGTTAAGATCCCACAAGTCATAAGATTGTAATTCACAAAATCTCCAGTCTAACCTTTGTATAAGGTTACTGTGATGCCTTTTACATTTTGACAGGGGATTGAGGGTTGAATGATTCAGAGGCTCCATGGCGAGGTCACACCAATGTACTGTATTATCTTTACGTCTCATTTCACAACCATATCACTTTCCCTTTAACTCTGTGGCAATGGAAGAAGCTGCTGGGTTTTGTTCAGTTTGATTATTTAAAAAGTGGGTGGTTTCCTATACTGATAGCAATGACTTCTCTACATCCTGTTTAATAATTTGATGCATTATAATTTCCTTTTATTAAAAAAAGCCATTTCTGACCCCAAATGCTGGGAAATATCTCCATTGCTAGGAGAGATAATACAAAGACTTTAAGAGCTATATCTTTTTAGAAAGGTGAAGCACACAGAGTAAGAATAAAATGGAAATGTTACAAATTAGCTGGTTAATTAATTGACTTAGGCAGATTAATGAGATGTATCATATAACACTTCATCACTTCCTGGCAAACATATGGGGAAACAATGGAAACAGTGACAGACTTCATTTTCTCGGGCTCCAAAATCACTGCAGATGGTGACTGCAGCCTTGAAATTAAAAGACGCTTGCTCCTTGGAAGAAAAGCTATGACCAACCTAGACAGCATATTAAAAAGCAGAGACATTACTTTGCCAACAAAGGTCCATCTAGTCAAAGCTATGGTTTTTCCAGTACTCATGTATAGATGTGAGAGTTGGACCAAAAAGAAAGCTGAGCGCCGAAGAATTGATGCTTTTGAACTGTGGTGTTGAAGACTCTTGAGAGTCACTTGGACTGCAAGGAGATCCAACCAGTCAATCCTAAAGGAAATCCGTCCTGAATATTCATTGGAAGGACTGATGCTGAAGCTAAAGCTGAATATTTTGGCCACCTGATGTGAAGAACTGACTCATTAGAAAAGACCCCAACTGGGAAAGATTGAAGGCAGGAGGAGAAGGGTATGAAAGAGGATGAGATGGTTGGATGGTGTCACCAACTTGATGGACATGAGTTTGAACAAGCTGCAGGAGTTGGTGATGGACAGGGAAGCCTGCCATGCTGCAGTCCATGGGGTCACAAAGAGTCAAACATGACTGAGTGACTGAACTGAACTGATCATATAACAATATGATTTTGTTAGATAAATGCTAAACTTCCACCATATCATGCACAAGGTAAACAATTTGGTATGCATGATCTGACCCATGTTAAAACTGACTGTATTCCTCCTTGTCACTGTATGGCTAGGACTATATAACTGTTTAGACAACTGGCTAATATTTAAAGGAACAATCACCAAACTCATGAATTATGTTTTATATTTATTTGGTATGATTTTTTTCTCTTTGTAAACATTCCAAGAAGGTATCAGTCATTACCTTGACCTGTTATTTAAAGAAGGTAACATCCTCCTTTGAAATATAAGACCTGTGAAACTAGGGTAATTTGCAATTGAACAACAACAAAATCTTAAATCATTTTTTTCACTATCAATGCAGAATGTACTGCTTCAAAAGATATTTAATTTAATTTTGTAAACACAAAATTTAATTAAATTTTGTAAAATTTAAAAATAGAAACTAAAATAATGAATTTAATTTTATTTCCCTGAGATTTAACTTATTAGGCAAGAGGAAGTCTAGTTTTCAATCTTTATGAACATCTTTAAACAATACTTGAGGTCCTACAGTGTTCTAGGTATCATATGAAAATATATAAAAGAAAAAATGTCTCTGTCGCTCAAGAAACTTAAATTCGAAATAAACACAGATGAGTAAGTGAAAGGAATTCTCTGTTTGGTATTTGTCTATGTTTCCCAAGGGTAGTTCTTAGTTTAAGTAAAATCAAACAAATAAATAAATGGCAACAACAACAAAACACCCTTCACTGAAAGTAATTAATAAAAGTGTAGAAACAGATGCTTTAAGACAGCATTCATCATGTTCTGTAATCAATGTAAAGGATGAAAACCCCAAATACCAGTATTTCTTTTTTTTTGTTCTGGTAATAACCACATTACCATAACAGGGCTATAATTTGGGGATTAGAAATGTGAAAGAATGGGTTGAGGCTTACGCTGTTTATTACACATGAACCACAACGATGAAAAAAGAAGTGGAGAAATTCACAGAATACCCATCAGCCTAAAGAACTATCAACAAATGCTCTTGCAGAGCCTCTGGGACTGTTTGTGTCTGAAGCTCCCAGCAAGGGCCTGTGAAGACTGAGCGCGACTCTCTTCTGGCAGCAGTTAGAGCTTCTGGTCAGAGGGTATCACTGGGCCCATTCTAGAAGTGCCAGAAGAAAAGGCTGCAACAACCCACCAGTCCTTGATGAAACGTTCCTTATATCCGATTAAAACACATCCTAGCCTCCTGTAATACAAAACTTCCCATATTCTAGGTTTCCTAGATTGTTAGACTCCCACAATTCTTTCAGACACTATCATATTTTGATCATCAAATACACTTTCAGTATTCAAATGCAGTACAGGCTTGAGGTCTACTGAAGCTAACAGGTCTGTGACAGGCATTCAGGCTAGACTGCTTGCCTTCACCAGGCTGAGGTGTGCTGCACCTCAAATATTTGATTTTAACTAATTTTTGGTACGGTGAGCTTCCCTGGGGTCACAAATCTAGATGACTCACTAAGCTGCCATATTCCTAAAGCCTTCAGAATGTCATTTAAAGGCAGAATAAAGCACCAGGAAGAAACGCTTATTCACTGAAAGCTTATGGGTGTGTGTGTGTGTGTGTGTGTGTGTGCACTCAATTGTGTCTGATTCTTTGCAACCCCATGGACTGTAGCCCGCCAGGCTCCTCTGTCCATGGGATTCTCCAGGCAAGAGCACTGGTGCAGGATGCCATGTCCTACTCTAGGGGATTTTCCCAACCCAGGATGGGTAGCAGTATAAATTAATCTAATGATCTTTTTTAGAGATGAGTTGTTCAGAGCAAAATGTGTACAAGTCAGTCTGTGAGGGGCCTGGAATACCGGCATGGAGTTTGGTTTGATGAATAAGAGGGAGCCTCTCCAGGGTCACGTGCGAGGGCTGGGGAGGGGTCTGGGTGTTTGAGCTCATCTTGACTCCTTCTCCTGGCCTCTCTGAAGTGTGAAGTGTCCTCTTCTTTCTCAAAATCCCCACAGCACAGTACGGTTATGTTTTCGTAGCCCTGTATTTTCCTTATCTGTTTGTCTCTTGTTGCCCTATTATGAATAGAACTCATCGAAAGCAAAAATCATATTTTATTTGTGTGTTTGTTTGCTTATGCATTTGCTTTTCTGGCTTTGGACACCACCTAGCCCAGTTCTTGGCTATTTTTACACCCACTGCATGCCAGGCCCTGAATGAAGGCGCTGAGTACACACATAAAATGCTCTCAAGGAACAACAGTGTAGGACCTGAGGGCCAACAAGGGATATGTCTTTGTACTAAACGCAGTGAGAACACAAAGCCAGCAGCCACGCCTGTGGAGGCACATGGGAAGGCTTCGCTATACAGTAGACTGATCTTGAAACATGAAAGGCATGTAGACGTATCAACATACACACAAACCCACGGAGAGAAGAAATGGTGTGTGGTGTCCTGGTGCCTATTAAGTTTGGATTTGCTGAAGCAGAAACCAAGAGAGTGTTGTTCAACAATAATAGAGCTCTGTACCCAAAGAACCATATATCACAGTAAGAAATTCAGACTTGATTCCGCAGGATTTAGGAAGCCAGAGGAGAATCAGGACATTAGGAGGGCATGGCCGGATTTGCTTTTAGAATGATTACTCTGGTGGCAAGAAAGAAAACACTGTGTGTGTGTGTGTGTGTGTGTGCATGTGTGTGTATGTGTGTGTATGCATGTGTGTGTGTGTGTGTGTGTGTTGGGGTTGGTGGTGGAGAGAACAGGGAAGAAAACAACATTAAATGCAGGGAAACCAGCTGGAGGCTGTTGTTACAGTCATGGTTCAGTGATGAAATACATTTTCATTCTGCATTCAAATTATATTTGTTCAGTGTCTACTCTGTGATGACTTCCATGTATTTTCTTACATTTTTAAAATTTTATTCTTATTTCAAGTTCATAAGATAAGGACTATACCCAATTTTTTCTTTTCTTTTTTCTTTTGTTTCCTTTTCCTTTCTTCTTCCTCCCTCCTTTATTTCTTTCTTCCTTCCTTTTTTCTTTCTCTATATTCATGTAGGATATGAAGAATCTGAGTCTTAGAGAGGCTGATACTAGGTAAAGACAGACTAAATTTCACAGAGACTAAATCACCCAAAGTCACACACACATTTTAAATGCTGGCTTTGGGATTCAAACTCAATCTTGTAACAAAGCTTTTTATACCACACCTGACATTTGCTATAATGAGAGGCAGTGTGCTTCACTGCAAAGGGAAACAGACTAGGAATAAGATGTCTAGATGCTAAATACTGCTTAATATTTCACTTGCTTTGTCACCTTGATGAAGTCACTTAATTTCTATGGGCCTTACTCTCTGCATCTTTGAAATGTCCATATGTGTTCTCTCAAGGTCTAATTCTATGATTCTGTGAATTTAATTATGTTTATTCGGGATGATGTTTATTCTAGCAAGTTTGTTAAGAGTGGGACACAGCAAGGTGAAGTAAAAACAAGACTGGATTTATTTAAGAATGAAAATGGTGGAGGTGGTAGGCAAAATCTGAAAAGTGCCAAATTTAGAAAACACTATAAAGGAAATATTCATAGTTCTAAAGACTGGGTTTCTCACCAACTGAAAAACCACATTTCATAATAATCCCAAGGTAGGCGGCTTCCCTGATAGCTCAGTTGGTAAAAAATCCACCTGCAATGCAGGAGACCCTGGTTCGATTCCTGGGTTGGGAAGATCTGCAGGAGAAGGGATAGGCCACCTACTCCAGTATTCTTGGGATTCCCTTCTGGCTCAGCTGGTAAAGAATCTGCCCGCAATGCGGGAGACCTGGGTTCAATCCCTGGGTTGGGAAGATCCCCTGGAGAAGAGAAAGGCTACCCACTCCAGTATTCCAGCCTAGAGAATTCCATGGACTATACAGTCCTGGGGGTTGCAGAGAGTTGGACACGACTGAGCAACTTTCACTTCACTTTCACATACACGTGGACTTCCCTGGTAGTTCAGTAGTTAAGAATCTGGCTGCCAGTGCTAGGGACAAAGGTTTGATCCCTGGTCTGAGAAGATTCCATATACTGTGGGGCAACTGAGCCTGTGCACTGCAACTACCAAGCCTTCACTCTAGAATCCACAAGCCACAGTTGCTGAAGCCCATGGACCACAGAGCCCGTGTTCGGCAACAAGAGAAGTCACCACAATGACAGGTTCGGGCCCCGCAACTAGAGAAAGCCTGTGTCCAGTAAAAAAGACCCAGCAATTCCAGGGGTCACGAAGTCAGACACAACTGAGTGACTTTCACTTATTAGTGGAAAAAGTGACCATTCTGATAACAAAACCAATGAGAAGCAAAACTGTTGAGGAGGAAAGATATCAGGGTGTTTTTTGGAACAGCTCAGTAACAAGCAATCAATTGACAAATATATCTAAATGACTTTTCTTCTGGACAATTTGTTGAATAAGTCAAAATAAATTATGAGGCCATAAAGATTGGAGAAGGAAGTGTCAAAAAGTGAAACTTTGATATGAAAATGAACTTCCTTAAGGAATAAAAATATACAGAGTGAAGTCAGAGAATTTTGACCTTTAGGGAGATTTTAATATTAGCAGTTAACACACAATCAACAGCTTTCATCTCAAAGTCTCCTGGAATTGGGTTGTGTCACACTAACTGTGCAAAATTTTAAATGAAATATCCCACGCAACAACCTACCTCAGGGGAGACGTCTGTAATTCCAAACTGGGATAAACTCTGATGCAAAACATTGATATTGAGTGAACGCAGCACTTCTTCAGATGGCAGAGCATCAGAAAATCCTGCTTTTCGATTTATGGGAGACACAAATAGTTCAACACTGTTCTTCTTTTCCTAGTAAAAGCAGATTATTTGTATATGTTAGTAGACATGTGAAGCAAGTTTGGGAAATATTGTTTGGTTTTCCTCTAGAAATATTAAAGAAAACCAGAATCTTAGATTCCTAAATGGCATCTTGGAGATCACTTTTATTAAGTATTCTCTTGTACACTTAAAATAACCAGCCCAAAGTCCCAAGTCTTCAAATAGCCTTCTTTCAATTAGTTAACATGCCTAGTTTTCTAATTTTATATTTCACTAGATGCTGGTTTATTTTCTATTCGATACTATAAATTTTGAGATATATTTTTCAGATGTTTCCTGAGAAATTGTGTTTAAAGAAGTATTTTAAAATCAAATGAACTAAGCAAAATCTGATGTAAGAGTATATAGTTATTAGACATCATCACCCCATCTTATAACTTGCATTAATGTGAAGACTGGACTAACTAAGGAAGGCAATGCTGTCTTTGAACTTACTTCCCTGATCCTGTTTTTCACCTTAAATATGTCACACTCTTAAGATTTATTGTTCAGTAGAAGTGCATGTGTTATGCAATGATATCATGTTACTTTCCTATTAGTCTGACCTCATATGCTGAGGCAGGGTGAGAGGACTTCTTACCATAAATGGCTGATGTGCCACACACCCATAAAAAACAAACACTGCACAAAATGATGCTGCCATTGATAGAATCTCTTTCACAACTTACACAAAACACTTGTAAAGAAAATTGTGGTTAGCTTTTCTTTTCAATACACAGGGTTCTATCCTGCTAGAAAACTTTCTTTCTTTTTTTTTTTAAAGAATATTTTCTTTGAATGCCATTTATCAGAAGTTCAGTCAGGCATCAAATGGAGGACAGCTAGCAATCCAGGAAAAAATGTTTCTGTTTACAGCAAACAACAGACAACAACAGGTTATCACATAATGCTGATGTGAAAGATAATGATAATAATTCAAATAGTTTATGATCTAATAGCAACGATAGTAGGGAGAGACACTTGTTTTGTACTTGTCATGCTCCCCTGTGCCTTAAACCTGTTACCTCCAGGACAGAGGTATTATAGTCATTTCATTTTGTAAATGAAAGAACCTAAGTAACCTGCCTTATGTCATAGAGCTGGGACTCGGCCAAACTGGAAATGAAATAGAATTCTGGGTCTGTCTCCACAGCACTTGCTCTTAATCACTATACTGTGCTTCCTCAGGTGTCATCATAACTCAAACAATTACAAAAACTACTCTTAGAAACAGACATGCATAAATGCTGCTAACATTCTCTGAGGATATGCATATCCCTCTCTAGGTGTGGCAAACCCCTCTTTTATCCTTTCAAAGAGCCATTATACTCTTTAAATCTACACCCATAAAAGCATATCTAAGATATCTAAGTACATATATATATAAAAATCTAGATCTAAGACATCTATAATACCTCACTTCTCACTTGAGTAAGGTACACTCTGGATATAAATAACTTCTTTCAAGGTAATGGGAAATGCTATATTTCTTCTTCTATGGTATTGTTAAAAACTTTGTTTTTTAAAAAATCTTATTTAGTCCCAGAGATTAGCTGACTCACAGAATAAAAGTTATTATGGGGATGAAAGTAATTCACCCTCCACACAGGAAAAAGGAAAAGAAATAACAACTCTAAACCAAAATTAAAAGCAAATTCTTCTCCATATGTGGAAATGCAGGTATTGATGTAGTATAAAACTGAGCCCGAGCAGGAGCCTAAGAATTTAGGGCAAGGAGAATGCAAAGTCCCTGCTTGAGTTTCTAAGGCAGTGGAAATTAAGAACAATTTTAAAACTGTAAAAGATTTTTCCAAAGTCCCTTTTCACAGGAAGCTTTGATAATATCTTTTTACAAAGAGAAAATCATATTTTAATCTGCCTTTCTTTGCCTTTGCTCACACCCACCTTCAAGTACAGATGGGAACATGTAGTTGGATGATACCAAGGTCCCTAAATACTGAGGAGAGGAGGAAAAGAAAGGATATGGGTGATTGATAGGTCTAAAGTGGGCCTAATAGAAAAGATCCTTTGGGCTCACTTTGTCCCACTTCAATTACCCATCCAAATTTTCTCTTGACTTTTCAAGACTATTCTTGCATTCTCCTTGGACTGCTGTCCTTAAGGATGGTTCTTCTTCACTCTTTATTCAAAATCCTCTGCCTATGTGTTCACTATCCTTCATCCTCCTATACCTGAAGGGATTTTAATAGATACTGTCTGGAGACAGAGTCTTACCTGATACAAAACATTTCTCTCTTAGGGAGAATATTTTGGGAGGAGTATCAGGGTGGTGAGACAGGTATTCGGGGCCTTTCTATTTATACCTACCAGAGTAGCTAGTCTTGAACTATGATAAAGTTGACAAACATTTTCTGTAATGGACCAGATAACAAATATTTTAACTTTCAATTTAGACAGACAATCTGTTACAACTTCTCAACTCTGCCACTGTAGCATGAAAGAAGCCTTATACAATATGTAAACAAATGCGTATGGTTTGTTACAATAAAACTTCTTTGACAAAAACAGGTGTTATGCCAGATTTGGCTCATGGGCCATAAAACTACAGCATGGGTGTTCTTTATTATTGTTCATTATTCTTGAGCCCTGCAATAAAGATCAAAGCTTATACTCTGTAAATGCGAAATGTAGGCATCTTACAAGGAGGCGATTGATGTGCACTTGCTGGGGTAAGAGTCCTAAAGCCGCAGCTACTCCTTGGCGAAACATCCGAAGCAAGGTTATGTTCAGCCTGCTTACATCCATTTGCAGTGTCTGGAAAATAAAAAATTCAAATTATAGTAAACCTTTGATTTTCGACATTCAGTTCCTGATGGATGACTGACCCCAACAATTCCTGTGACTCTGAGAAATTCACAGTCATGGTGCTTTATTTCATTTTTAATGGAGATAAAATTATAGGGACATTTTACGTGAAATTTTAAATGGTGTTACTTAAGAAGATGGTACATTGTATATATAATAATGTGATTTGTCTAGTTATAATCAAGAGTTCATAAGAATGATCAATTCACAAAGAATTTCACTGAAATGTGTACTGATTTATTTTGCTTTAAGTCCAGATGATAGAATGGAACATGCAGCCAAGTACATTTCAGTAATCCAAGCCAGAGGACATCTTTAATTTGTGTTCACACACAGTCACAGAGAGGAAGATTCTGTGTAAGTTCCACAACACCAGACTTGGCAGTTTCTCTATAGAGCAATTTGCTGCCAGTGCAAGGCAAAAGAATGAGCTGCAATGATGCATTTTCAAACTCTGGTAAAGAAATCAATGGAACAGATAATTGAGTCTAAGGTAAATAATTCTTATTCAATTGCTTGGGCAAGCACTCTTAATTTTCAAATAGCTTTGGAAAAAGACAACTAAGTATTTTAAAATTCCTAAAATATAAACCAAGGTATGCAATTAATACTACATCCTTAGTTCAAGCCATGGGTGCTGTTATTACATTCAAATTAGTTAACTATGTATTTTCAAAAAATGCATCATAATCACTTGAAATGGATGCTTTGCAAAGTGGGACAACAAACCCTTTAGGCATTTCTTATTTTATAATGCTTAATTCCCCAACTTGACCATAGAAGATTATCGGTAACTGTTAGATGGCTGCAATACCATCTGTTCTATAAAGTTAGCTGCAGGTCTATGTACACACTTTTGTGATTAAGCGATTGGCTTTAAGTGTGATCTACTAGAGTGTAAGAACTCTTAGAAGACCTTCTCCCAGTTTGCTGTGAAAGAAGAATTAATACTGCTTCAATAATTTATAGCTTTGTTAGGAAATAATTTCTCTATACATAAAGTTGGTACAAAATAAGTGATTGGAAATGACCAAATACTCATTGCTACAGGTGGTGCAGTGGTAAAGAACGTGCCTGCCCAATGCAGGAGATGCAGGAGATGCAGGAGACGTGGATTCAATCCCTGGGTCAGTAAGATCCTTGAAGGAGGAAATGGCAACCCATTCTAGTATTTTTGCCTAGACAAATCCATGGACAGAGGAGCCTGGTGGGTTATAGTCTCAGTTCAGTTCAGTTGCTCGGTCATGTCTGACTCTTTGTGACCCCATGAACTGCAGCACGCCAGGCCTCCCTGTCCATCACCAACTCCCGGAGTCCACCCAAACCCATGTCCATTGAGTCAGTGATGCCATCCAACCATCTCATTCTCTGTCCTCCCCTTCTCCTCCTGCCCTCAATCTTTCCCAGCATCAGGGTCTTTTCAAATGAGTCAGCTCTTCACATCAGGTTACAGTCTCAGTTCAGTTCAGTTCAGTCACTCAGTTGTGTCCGACTCTTCACGACCCCATGAATCACAGCATACTAGGCCTCCCTGTCCATCACCAACTCCCGGAGTCTACCCAAACTCATGTCCATCAAGTCGGTGATGCCATCCAGCCGTCTTCTCCTCTGTCGTCCCCTCCTCCTCCAGCCCCCAATCCTTCCCATCATTAGAGTCTTTTCCAATGAGTCAACTCTTTGCACAAGGTGGCCAAAGTATTGGAATTTCAGCTTCAACATAAGTCCTTCCAAGGAGCACCCAGGACTGGTCTCCGTTAGGATGGACTGGTTAGATCTCCTTGCAGTCCAAGGGACTCTCAAGACTCTTCTCCAACACCACAGTTCAAAAACATCAATTCTTCAGCACTCAGCTTTCTTTACCGTCCAACTCTCACATCCATACATAACCACTGGAAAAACCATAGCCTTGACCAGACAGAACTTTATTGGCAAAGTAATGTCTCTGCTTTTTAATATGCTATCTAGGTTGGTCATAACTTTCCTTCCAAAAAGTAAGCGTCTTTTAATTTCATGGCTGCGATCACCATCTGCAGTGATTTTGGAGCCCCCCAAAATAAAATCTGACACTGTTTCCACTGTTTCCCCATCTATTTCCCATGAAGTGATGGGACCAGATGCCATGATCTTAGTTTTCTGAATGTTGAGCTTTAAGCCAACTTTTTCACTCTCCTCCTTCACTTTCAAGAGGCTTTTTAGTTCCTCTTTACTCTCTGCCATAAGGGTGGTGTCATCTGCATATCTGAGGTTATTGATATTTCCCCCGGCAATCTTGATTCCAACTTGTGCTTCTTCTAGCCCAGCATTTCTCATAATGTACTCTGCATATAAGTTAAATAAGCAGGGTGACAATATATAGCCTTGATGTACTCCTTTTCCTATTTGGAACCATTCTGTTGTTCCATGTCCAGTTCTAACTATTGCTTCCTGACCTGCACATAAGTTTCTCAAAAGACAGGTCAGATGGTCTGGTGTTCCCATCTCTTTAAGAATATTCCACAGTTTATTGTGACCCACACAGTCTCAATAAAGGAGAAATAGACATTTTTCTGGAACGCTCTTGCTTTTTTGATGATCCAGCGGATGTTGGCAATTTGATCTCTGGTTCCTCCACCTTTTCTAAAACCAGCTTGAACATCTGGAGTTTCATGGTTCATGTATTGCTGAAGCCTGGCTTGGAGAATTTTGAGCATTACTTTACTAGCGTGTGAGATGAGTGCAATTGTGCGTTAGTTTGAGCATTCTTTGCAGTTTGAGTTTATAGTCTATGGGGTTGCAAATAGTCAGACACAAGTGAGTACGCACGCACACACATACACAGAAATCAAAGGGAGTGGGGGAGGTCAAAAGAAGTATAATGGTTTCCAATCAAAATGTACACCCAGCTGAAGTCTATACTGCTTTTGCACCTTAGTCTTTTAATACTTGCGTAGGCGCAGGGGCCATAGAGCTTGGTCATGTTAGGTAGCTGGAAGACTCCTGGCAAAAACCAGAGATCCATAAAAGGGAAGAACTATTTAAAAAAAAAAACTAACTATAAGGTACAACTTGTTTCTGGAGAGGGGAAAGGGAGAATTTTGCTGGGAGTATGTAGAAAAGCTACATTCATGCCATCAATAACACTTAAAAAAAAATCAGACGAAAGCTATTTAATGATTCACAATTGTTTGTTATATTATTCTGTGTGCTTTTCTATGGTTTAAAAATGTTTCCTGTATACAAAAATATACTTTGATGCAGTGGCTTCCCAGGTGGCACAGTAGTAAAAAATCTGCCTGTCAATGCAGGAGACACAAGAGATTCGGGTTTGATCCCTGAGTGGGAAAGATCCCCTGGAGGAGGAAATGGCAACCCACTCCAGTATTCTTGCCTGGAGAATCCTATGGACAGAGAAGCCTGGCAGGCTACAGTCCATGGGGTGACAAAGAGTCAGACATGACTGAGTGACTGAATACACACACTTTGATGCAGAAAGTAAAACAGAAGGATAAGTAGGGTATGGAAATGCAGTAATAAGAAAAACCTAATACTTTTAAGCACACTTTATATTTTATGAAAACATGCTTTATGGAAAATCCAAAAGATTAGAAAAACTAAATCCATCTGGTGGCTCTGAGAAACTTCCTTTTATCTAACAGCTTACTTTCAGCTCTGCAAAGCTGTGGAAGCTGCCAGCAGATATTGGACCTTGTATTGGAGACTGTTTACTCCCTTCCTTTGGAAAGCCCAGAGATGGGTTCCTCTGTTACTGCAAACACCGATGGGGAACCACCGACTTCTGGCTCACCAGCAGTGTTTGTCGGGAAGGGTGAGCAAGCAGGCACAGCCCTTGATTCCCATGGGCACGATTTGCAGCCAACAGTCTACGCTGAGAACTGTGAGCCCAGGGGGTGGCGTACACACTTGAGATCTCAATTCCCAGGGCTATGATTAACTTGAAGCTTGTAACTGTGGAAACAGTATTAAAGTCTAAGTTTCTCAGACTGAAATGGCAAATGGATGTCAAATGGGAACTCAAGATTTAAAATCACTCAAGATGGCGTCATTCCAAGAAGGTAAAACTGTGCCTTTGAAACAGAAATTTTAGACTCCCTAACTAAAATAAAGAAGTGAGTTGAAGTAATTGGTTTAAAACTCCAAGCATCCAGTTCATTGCATCAAATATTTGAATAATTTACCTCAGTTCTCTGCTTGCCTGTGAAAAGCTAAGCTGATCTCAGAGCACATGCATGTATTTCCGACTATTCACCATAAAACAGTAATGCTAAAATACAGTATAAACAAACAAACAAAAAATGTATTGGAAGGCCTAATACATGCCAGACATTATATACAATTACAATTTGAGAAAAAGAAAGGGTTCTAGAAAAAATGAAAATTTTATTTCAGGGAAAATAAATATGACTTCCTATAATAAGAGACTATATGTTACCTTCTTCCTCCTGGAGAGATGCTAGAAACACACAGCTTTTTCTCATCCTATTAAGTTAGATCATAACAGCATATAAATTTCCATGGCAATAACAGTGTCACAACTTCAAAGTTACCATATAACAGTGCAAGAAATATTTCAGTCTTATTCTAAACCCATTTGGTCATTTCTATTACTTAACATACAAATGACTGAAAATTTTAAGTTTAAAAGAAATTACAATGCTTTTTCCAAGTACAAATGCTAAGCCATTTCACAGTAATGAATGATGCAGATAGAGCTACTATCCCAAACAACTGAGTACTGTTATTGATATTACCAATATCTAAACATATACAAAATTAAACATGGTAAAAATTCAAAGATTTCAAGCTCTATCTGTATTTAAATTTATGGGGCTTCTGCCTTGCAAAGAGATTCCTGAGTCAGTTCCTCTGATCTGGGTCCCATGTCCCCTCCCCCAAGTCGACTTCTTCCCACAAAAGAAATACCCCTGTGATATAACTTTCTTTCTTTGGTC